GATGGATTGGTCCTGTGCTGATTGTACTATTCACGTTTTGCGACTGGTCCTCCAGTAGTTGCTGGAGATGTGTTCCAAACACTTCCCCTGCAAGCCGTAGTTAGTTCTTGAGCCAAGGCCTGTGGCTCCGACTGCAGATCCAGTCGTGGACGGCCCTCTCGGATTCAGTTTGTGGTTTTGTTGGTGACTCGATTGGTGGCTTTCGTAGCTCGGCCTTTGGGTCTTGAAGCACTTGCGGTGGCACTCGTAGCCCTGAGTGTAGTCCTCGAAGTCCACTTTGTGTTCCCCGAAGGTTGTCTGGTGGCCCGGGTAGCTTCGCTGGTGATTGTAGTAGCTCAGAGGGCACGCTCTCTTCGTTGTCCCCAAGGTCCGAATCAGAGCCGCACGATTCCAAGTCGTAGTGATCCACGTTCGGGAAGCCGGAATAGTCCTCGGGATCGCAGGAGCACAAGTCGACATCGAACAAGCTGCAGTAGTCGTATTCGAAGTAGGCGGCGCGGCCGTAGTCGCAGACGTCGTCGGCGGCGCGGCTGTTGTCCACCGGTACCTCCACGGCGACGTGCTGAATCACCCTCTCGGGCTTTAGATTCTCGTCATTACTAGCGTCGATGTTGGTGGCGTACTTGCTATGATAATGGTGGTGGTCGTCCCCGGGCTGCCGGTTACGCAGCTCGTCCTGGTACTTGGGCTGCCTGTTACGCAACTCGCTCTCGCACCGCGGGGGCCTGTTACGCCGCTCGCGCTTGGACGCTCTCGCGAGGGCGGAGATAGCAATGATAAAGGTGTCGCTGGGTCGAGGCTGTATCCCATGCCAGACGTTTTACCCCAATCGTTTTTGGGCCGCGGCTGTTCGCGACCACGGCTTTGGCACCCTTGCCGGGCCGTCCCCAGTCTCGTAATCGAGTAGTTCAACAGCTGGCGGTTGATATTGTAATCGCCATTTAGGCACCCCCTGGCCGAGGCCGCGGCTGAGGGTATTGAGGCCAGCCAGCTAGGCGCACGGCGCGCGCGCGAGGGCGAGTGCGAGGGATGGCTCCCGCGTATGGCCTTCCTCCTCTTCCTCCTCCTCCTCCTCCTCCTCATCATCATCACCACCACCACCACCACCACCATCAGCATCAGCAGCATCATCATCACCTTCATCCTCATCCTCATCCTCATCCTCATCATCATCCTCATCCTCATCCTCATCCTCATCATCATCATCATCATCATCATCATCATCATCATCAGCATCATCAGCATCACCATCACCATCACCATCACCATCACCATCATCATCATCATCATCATCATCATCATCATCATCATCATCATCACCCTCATCATCATCACCATCATCATCATCCTCATCCTCATCCTCATCCTCATACTCCTCCATTCCCTTTATTTTTGAATAACTCCTCCCTGTCGCACCCCGAGGCCTGTCGGAAGGGCGGGCTGGGCTTTCACCGAATGAGACTTCCTCACCATTTATGAGCCTGAACCTTAAAAGCTGGCAACAGTGTCACAAATGGAGGGCGGGTGGTTTTCAAAATGCGGTTCTCGCCTAGGGCCGCGCACATGCGTTTTAAACAGTTGCAAGAATTTCAATTTGGTATTCTCATTATCGCCGCGCATATTCGCTTGAAAATGCAAGAGCTTCACGGATTGAGGGCGGGTCGTTTCAAAAAGTGGTTTTCTCCTAATCGCCGCGCATATTCGCTTGAAAATGCAGGAGTTTCACGCATTGAGGGCGATTCGTTTTCAAAATGTTGGTTTCGCTTTAACGCCGCGCACACTCGTCTTACAAAATCACAAACGCTTCACGGATTGAGGGCTGCTCGTTTTCAAAATGCGGGTTTCGCTTCAACGCCGCGCACTGTCATTGAAAAAATGTGCAATGGCTTCACGAATTACCATGGCCAACGTACCAGAAAGTCTGGTTGAAAGGATTCTGGACTGTGAGGGCGCAGCAGTTACGCTGATTCGCGGCATTGAAGTCCCAGGAATGGTGTTCTGGCACGATTCAGAATCGTCAAGACGCAAAAGTCAGATTGACCCGCGGCGTTGGAGTCCCCAAGATTGTGGTTTGGCATGCTTGGGGATCTTGAAACTGCTGTCCCAGCGAGGCAGTTTCATTCAGTGGGAACGAAGCATTGTACAGGACTATGAGAGGGAGCTTGGAGGGAGGGTTTATTCACACATCGTTGATAAGTCCTGGGTTTACATTGGCCCTCTCCCTCCTTCTCCTTCTCCTCCTCCTCCTCCTCCTCCTCCTCATCCTCCTCCTCTTCTCCTCAACCTCCCAGCACGACGACGACGACGACGACGACGACGACGACGACGACGACGACGACCTCGACGACCACGACGACCACGACGACGGCGACAGCGACGGAGGCGACAGCGACGGAGGCGAGGACGACCCTCCCCTGCCAGGGGAAGACGCGCCTGCAGCCGACGGAGGGTTGCTGTCGAGGGCGGTCCTCGGCAGCGGGGGCGAGCGCGCCGCCGCATCCCGCGTTGGCGCTACAGGGCGTTCTGGTGCGCGGTGCGCGCTAGCGGGCGCGATGCATTCGACCGGAAGACGAGCGTGAGCTTCCACGCCTTATTATCCCAAGGAACCCTTAGGAAACTCTCTGGGCAGCCCCTCCAGGAGTTCGGCGACTCCGGAGGGTGTGGTTTGCAAAGGGTGCGGCTTACAACTGGGACCCAGGGGGGGCACCCATGGGGGGCGGGCGAGGACCTCGACAGAGCTTCCCGCCGCGCCCCGAGACCCGACGAGGACGGCTTCGTGCTCCCCAGGCGGTGGTGCCGATCGCAAACCACACCCTGGCGTAACCCTACCCTTTGTGGTCGCCGAGGGGCCCTGTCGGAGACCCCCGAGGCCCTCGGAAGCTCCTCGGAGGCCCCTCTGAGCATCGTTTAACCGACCCCCGTCCCCACGGGCGTGGCCTGGGCCCCCTGGCCGATCTATCCCCCCAGATGGGGATGCAGGCTGTTGCCTTCGAGTTTCGAGGGGCACATCCCCGACCTGGGGTGGTGGGATGGTGGGGACCTGGACGGGGATGGAGAAGGGGACGGGGATCGGTGGAACGGTGCTGACCCTCGGCGGGGACCGTACTCCTAACTTCTTATTCATCAGCCAGGGGGTGACAAACGTGAAAACGCGGCGCGGCTAACCCCCCCCCGGCATCACCCCCGCGCCCCGGCGGGGAAGGGAACGAACCCCAGACGCCCCACGGCACCCCGGCGGACGCGCCGCGGCCAACCCCCCCCGGGCACTCCAAGGGTCGCTCGCTCGCTCGCTCAGCCATGCATCCGGAGGGACGCGTCGGCAGACTCAAGCTTGCGTCGTTGGCAACCGAGTTTACCAGCCTCGAACGTATCCCTATCCCTTAGATTGACACGCCAAGAGGCGATGACAGTCTTAGGGATCCGCCCTCCAAAAATAAGGGAATCCCTAAGATCGGCATCGTGATGAGGAGGTGCCCAACATAGAGATAGGTGCATGTTCCAGGCTTGTAACGAGTGGAAGAAATAAGATGCGCGTCGGCAACGGCAGCTGCAGCGCCAAGCGCGCCGGACAAGCTCGCAACGGAGAAATCCAGACGCGCCAGACAGGTTCGCCGGACAATTCGCCGGACGCGCCAGGGGCGGCGCCGGAGGCGCCGCCGGGTGGCCCCAGCGCCGATCCGAGAAACCCGCGCGGACCTCCGAGTTTTTATGTTTATGCCACTTTTTGTTCCCCTAGATAAGGGGAGGGGGGGGGGGGGGGGGGGGGGGGGGCGATTATCAAGCGATCATCCAGAGTACTGGGAAGCTGTCGGCGGGAGCCTCTCGGCGAGGGGCCGTGCCCAGAGGCGGGGCCCCCCGACGGCCAGCGGGGGCCGACCGGCCCCCTGCGGGGCTCCCCGCGGGGCCCTCGGACGCCACCCCCCCCGGGAGGCCCCCGCGGCGGGGGCCCCGCGCTCGGGCGCCCCTCGGCGAGGGGGGGCTCTCGGAGGCCCTCGGGGGGGGGGTCCTCGGACCTCGGTCGACGGCCCTCCGCGTGCCGTCGTGTCGGGGGGGCCGACACCTTCACGGATCACGAGACAGCTCGCCCCGTGGCCCCCCGCCAGCCCCGCGCCAAAGCGCGAGCCTATATACATATATTATCCCTAGCGGCTACACGCTTACCCAGGGCTCAACTTAGGAGCGTGGTCGGTCGGAGTGGCGGTAGCCATCCAGAGCATTCACAACTTCATTTTACTCGCACGGACGCCCGATCGCACGGGCGCTAAGTTCTGTAGCACTCCAGTCGGGAAAGTAAACTCAACAGAACTGAATCAGTTGACAAAGGCCGAGATCGAGAGACTCCACTCCCCTGAGAAGATTAATCAAAGAAGAAAAGCCTGCACGCATCGGCACCGACTGCGTCTGGAAAAGAAAAGGTGGGAGGATGGGGACGGACGCGGTGCGCTTGAGCAAGTATGCCACGGGCGATGCAAGCATTCAATCGGGACGCTCCTCGCCTCTCTGGAAAACACAAGTCACAGACAAAAATTATCCCTAGCGGCCACACGCTCACCCAGGGCTCAACTTAGGAGCGTGGTCGGTCGGAGTGGCGGTAGCCATCCAGAACATTCACAACTTCATTTTACTCGCACGGACGCCCGATCGCACGGGCGCTAAGTTCTGTAGCACTCCAGTCGGGAAAGTAAACTCGACAGAACTGAATCAGTTGACAAAGGCCGAGATCGAGAGACTCCACTCCCATATCTGCCCATAAGGCATCTGGCGAAGCCGGCTTCAGCATTTTCTGAGAGCCCGAAGGAGCTTGACAGGAAACTCTTTCTCCGCAACCGAAGTCTTCCCTTGCTGCTCAGGTGACAACTTATGTACTTGCCGAAGGATTTTGCCGTGCTTCGAATATCTCACCACACTCTGCGCATGGGCCCACTGGCCCCGTTTCTGGATCTGGTCAAGAGTCGCCAGACCCATATACATGTCATGCGAAGCCCCGGCATGCCGAACTCCGTGAGGAGAGATGTCCAGATCTGAGAGGCCCAAGTCAAAAGCGGCTTGACGAAAGAGGGCCTCGTACTTGGAGAGAGTCAGGTCGAACATGTAGGGAGCTGCACTGCCCACGCGGTACCAAAGGCCTACCGCCTCCGCCACCCAGGCTCGCTGCAGCTCGCCGATCACCACTGTCCCATCCACGACCCCAGTCTTGGTGGGCGCTGCGTGCTCGGCCTCGCCCAGGAGCAGCGCCCAGGCCCGCGCATAGCGCCGGCCAGCCCGGGGAGCAGGCGGCAGCACCGAGGACAGGAGGAGCGACACAGCTTCATCCGGCCTCAGGTAGCAGTCGAACTGCAGAGCCAGGCACACGGCGGCGGCGGTCAGGCCCTTGTCCAGGAGGTAGAGGCCGATCAGGCAGACGACGCCGAAGGGGATGGGATCACGGACTCGCTGGGGAGCCCGAGTGGTCCACCCTCGAAGCGCCCTCGACGCCTTCGGGAAGAGGTTGGCCTTGTTTCGATCCAGGTGCGTCTCGAAGTGAATATAGCCGTAGAGGACGTTGCGGCCCTCGGCGGGGCCAGACCCCTCGAAGTACAAGTCGGTGAAGTACTGCTCCATCGCCGAGTCCGTGGAGCTGAAGCTACCCAGGTCGTAGTGCCTCGACTTCGCCCAGCCCTTGAACCTGCCGAGCGCGTCTGAGTAGAGCCGCTTCGTGGAGTCGCGGATGGTCCCGAGCCGCAGGAAGTCGTCGCGCGCCGCTGGCGGGACCCGCGCCCTGCGCGCCACCGCCAGCCGCTCCTTCTCCTCGCCGACAGCCGCACGGCCCTGCTGCCGCAGCGGCGGCCTCAGGGCCGCCTTGATGACCCCGCGCGCCGCCGAACTCGACGGCGTGGCGCGCGAGGAAGTCCTGCCCGCGGCTCTCGGCGTCAGTCCCGCCGTGAGCCTCCCCGAGTTTCGCTGCAGCACCATGCGACCGCGGCACCAGCGCCTCCAGCTCCGCGCCCCACTCGGAGGCGAGTGGCTCGGAGTCGCCGAAGGCCTGAGGAGGCGCCGCCGAGCATAGCGCGGCAGCCCGCTCTCGGCAGAGGGCGGGCGAGTAGGCTCCAGCTTTGAGCCCACCCTGCAGAGGCTCATGGCGGTGTGACCCATCACATCTTCTCCCCAGGATGTCCAGACAGATGGCATTGGTGAAGATGGTGGTCGGTTTGCGAACATTTTCTCCGAATCCACAAAGATCGAACGAGACGTATCGGGCGTCTGGCAGACTGGCAAGGACAGCAAGGGGCTCGAAGCGAAACAACTTCGAGCTGGCAGGATTCTCCAGCGACCACAGTACGCCACAGCGGTCACACTCTTTGATGACCTCCGCTGTGAAGAGCGCCATGTCGACAGACACTGCCTCCAACCGCCGCGCCCGCTCGATATTATAAGGCGCGGAGCGGGCGACTGACCAGGCGGAGCATGCTGTCCCCAGATGTACGTACCAGAGCTTCCCACTCCGAATCCAACGCAGCACAGCTCGCTGCGTCGTGCGACGTGACAAATCATATCGGGCGGAGCGCCTGATCTCGGCGCCTGGCAGGACTCGCAGCCCCAAGCGCCGAAGAGAGGCGGTGAGCTGGCCCGAGCCCGAGAAGAGCTCGAGCGAGGCTTGGACCGCCTGGGGCGCGCCATGATGTCGAGGCGCGCCCAGGCAGCGGCCTCCCCTCCGCAGAGAGGCCGCTGGCGCCCCGCCCTCCAGTCTCGTGGGTACCTGCACTCGCGGGGCTCGGGGACGACGGGAGCCCTCGTCCGCGTGGTTCCTGTCCGTGCGGATGTGGCGGACCCGCCACGCCACACAGCCGGCAACCTGATAGGCCGCGGCTCGGCGGCACAGCGCATTGAGCGCCCAGCTCGACGAGCGGCCACGGTCGAACACCACGGCGGACACGAGGTTGTCCGACAGGGTGAGCAGCCGGCGGTGGCAGCCCCGTCGAGTCCGCAAGCTACGTCGGAGACCCATGAGACAGACCCTAGCCTCCTTGACGTTGATGTGCTCCTGCTTCCAGTGCCAGAAGCCCTCCACCAGCGTACGCCAGCGCCGCCTATTGTCCCAGCAGGCGCCGACCACGGGGATGGCCTCGAACACTTCCACCTCCTCCCGCGGCGCGGCCCCTCGGGCCGATCGCCGACGTCTGCACCGCTTGGGATCGGCCACGACCTCCGCTGCGCGGGCTGCCTCGGCGGCCCACTGCGCCAGGCGCGTCCGAGCCCCCAGCGGCTCCCAGGCGGTCCCCCCCACGACGTGGGGCTCCCCGAACGCCTCCAGCTGCTCGGGATCGTCGCCGTCAAAGCAGACCCCGAAGGCCGCCCCCAACGCCTCCAAGGTCGGGCGCGGCGGCGGAGGCAGCGGCGGCGCGGCCTTGAACCGCCAGCGCTCCCTCCACTTGAAGTCCTCCAGCAGCTCGTCGCCTGCGCCCTTCGTCTCCATGAGAGCGTAGCCGTAGCCCGACGAGTCGCCGAGGTAGACCGACGAGTTGAACGGCGCGTCCAGCTCCACCTCGCAGGTGAAGACCAGGTTGGACATGAGCCAGAGCTCACGCCGAACGCCTCGCCACAAGCGTCCTGACCTCTCCTTGTGAGCCGCGACGCAGGCGTAGCTCTGGGACAGGATAGACAGAAGGGGCCGGCAGAGGCCGCACATGTGTACGGCGTGGCCCAGCCAGATCTCGAGCTGCCACCCTGCCACCACACGGCGGCGAAGCAGGGCTGCAGTCGCCAGCTTGAAGCGCCAGAGGCGGGCCGATCGATGCCGCAGGCGGCGGCCCGGCCCGTCAAACTGCAGCCCGAGAGCCTCGAGATAGGGGCTGCAGGGGACCTCATCGTGGAGATCGAAGCCGAAGGCGGCACACTGCGCGCGGAAGTCCTGGTGGGCCTGCTCTGCGTCCATGGCGCTGTGCCCCAGCCCCGTGTGGTTGTCCACGTACACGGCGTGGACGGGCCGCCCAGGGACCAGGCGGGGGGCCGGAGCGCGCTCTCGGAGCAAGCCACCCCAACCATCAGCGGCCACAGCCGCCGCGCGAGAAGCCACCGCCTCGTTGCAGAAGTAGAGGGCCCACGACCATCCCATGGGCATGGCCCCCATGCAGAGGTAGAAGGACTCGTGCGTGGCCAGCTCCACGTCCACGCCCAGCTCGGGGTCGAACACCTTGGTGATGCCAAAACTCCCCTTGCTGAACGACTCGTCGATACCGAACCAGTCGGCCACCTCGACGATGCTGAACTGGTAGAAGCCGTCGCGCACGTCAGCGCCACTCTGGTGGAAGTCCAAAGCTGGGACACCCCCAGCACCAGGCAGAACACAATGAGTCGCCATCTCCGCCGCCACATCCGCGAACTCGGCCAGGTTGAGCTCCGCGAAGGACTGCGCGGTCCCCAGCTGCGTGGTGGGCGGCGGCTTGTGGCAGGCATTCGGGTATCGGGCGTCCACGATGAGTTAATGGCCCCCTCCTTCTTCTTGACAAAGAAGAGCCCGATGCGGCCCTTGAGCCGCCTCCTGGGCACCAGGATGCCCGAGGAGAGGAGGCGCTCGAAGAGCTCGTGCCGGGCTCGCTTGTTGCGCCGCAGCACGGGGTCCCAGTAGGGCTTGGGCGAGGGCTCGGAGGCGAACTTGGCCTCGATCTCCTCGGCGGACAGCTCGATGCACGTCTTGTAGCGTCGGAGCCTCTGCGCTGCATGAGGTGGTAGCAGCGCTCTCGCATCCTTGGGTTCCACCACTCCCTTGGCCACTCGCAGCTTGGCTGGATCATAACTGGCAAGGTGACGTGGCTCTTGACCGTACAGGTCCTTCGTCTTGAAGAGCTCCCGGAGGGCTCTGCTTGGAGCGAGGCCTTCGGGGACCAGGCCTGCACGCCCCACCCGATCCTCGAGACTCGCCAACATCTCCCGCTGGACTGCTGTAGGAGCTGAGCTCGCCAGCGGAGATCGTCGAAAGTGCGAATTGTTAGCTTGAGCGGCCGCCAGTTGGTTGACACCGAGTACTGTATCTCTAACAAGCCTTTGCCGCGTCGTGGAGCGCCACCACCTCTGCTGCACATAGTGAGGGGCTCCACGTGGGTACTGCCGAACTTCGGGCACAGGAAGAGGAAAGGGTCCTCCGTGCCTCCACTCCCCGCCAGGCCACCAGTCGGCTTTGGTGACCCGCGGGCTGTCGGGCGCCATCTAGCCCGGCAGAGGGGCCTCGGCTCCTTGGCCGCCAGCCCCCCTGCCTTTGCCTTTTGCATCACCGCCCTTTGGCCCCTTCGGGCCGCGCCTCCTGTCCCGCTCGTTCCTGGTCTCCTCCTTGTACAACCTCGACTGCTTGAGGATGTTCGCCCTCTCCTTCTGACGGTCCGACACCCAGGTGCGGAATCTCGGCGCTCGTGCAGCACCGTCGGTCCCCACCGCGCCGTCAGCAATGACTCCGAGCCCACTGAAGTCGGGATCCCGGGGGTCTCGCGCCACCGCCATCTCCAGCATGACGACCCGCCTCGCGAGAAGCTCGAACGAGGCCAGGTTGCTGATGTCGACCTGGTCGGTGCTGGTGGCCACACGCAACATCTCCATGGCGTTCTTGTGCTCATAGGCGATGGCGCTATTCTGGTTAACCCCCGACAGCCTGATCCACTCGGCGTGGTACGAAGTCGGATTCCCTGCTCCTTCTCGAATCGAGGCGGCCAGTTCTTTGCACACTCGTGGCCCCTCGAACTTCCACTCCGGCATGTCACTCTCGCGCAGCATGCCGACGGCGTCCGGCCACCCGAGGTGACGTGTGCCGTCCGCGGCTGTGTGGACGCCCAGACTCCTGATGTCCTCAGCGCCGACGCGACGCTGCTCAGCCCACTCGCCCAGTCGAGCACGTCCAACCTTTTCGACCCCCCGAGCTGTACCTTCGCGGCGCACCAAGCCGCGGTTGCCCAGCTCCACGAACTCGTCCCCCTCGAGGACATCGGCGGCGACGAGCGTCCCGAACGCTGGGTCCTCGAGGTCAGCATAGACCCACTCCTCAGCGTCCATGGCCTCGTCCTCGTCCCCGCCGAGCACGGCCGCCTGAAGTCGAGCACGTCTCTTGTGCCCGGCGACCGCCTCGCGTCCGATCGGGTCGAAGGCGTAGAGGTCCCCAACGATGGCATCTGGGAAAGCCTGTCCTCGCTCGAGCACCCGATGCCGACGCTCGTCCAGATTGATCCTCTCGAGATCGAGATCTGGAGTGAGCGTGATCCACACAGCGTCTCGCACACGTCGCAACAAGATACGATGATGCCAAGTAAAATTAGGATCATCATCGAAGCGAACGGCGACTTGGAACTCAGGAATGTCCGGGCACCGTGGCACTGCAGCCATGCCTTGACGAAGGTGTCACTGGCCCCGCCGATGGTCCAGTCGTCAGCGCCAAAGTGGTCGGCGCTGCCGTCGCAGTGGCTGCCTCTGGGGCCGCGGCGGCCCGGGGCGCCGCTGAGGACGCCGATGCCGCTCCGCCTGGAGCACGTCGTAGGCGAGGCGAGACGGCCAGCCCGACGGCCACGCCCGCTGCGAAGACCACCAGCAGCGGCCAGACCGGCCCTGCGGCCGTTGGCTCGGGAGCCCGAGCCTCGCAAGGCACTGCCGCCTGCCCAGGCGAGCCGCACGACAGCGAGCCGCACTCCACGTGCGGGCAGACCAGCGAGGGGCACGGAGGGCAGGATTGCAGGCTGCTGCTGAGATGCAGGGAAAGGTGAGAGAGCTCTCGAAGGACCCCGCCGAGCTGAAGCAGGTCCATATGCGCTTGAGCAAGTATGCCACGGGCGATGCAAGCATTCAATCGGGACGCTCCTCGCCTCTCTGGAAAACACAAGTCACAGACAAAAATCTATACATATATATATATATATACACGTATATATATATATACGGGTGCGATGCACTCGGCCATGGCCGGGCAGGGGAAGGACCCGATACTGCCTCGCGTGGCGTGTGGATGCCCGCACCTACCACGACTCTGGTCAGGCCCTGCCCCAAATCCCACCTTTTGCCTCCTCATCCCCGTCCTCCGCCCTCCATCTCATCCATCCCCCCCCCCCGTCATCCAGCTCCTCCGACTCCTCCTTCCGCCGCCTCCTGCCTCTCCTGCTGCCTCCTCGTTTTCCGCCTCATCCGCCCTCCTCGTCCTGCACCTCCCCTCCTCGTCACTGCGCCTTCCCCTCATCTCCTCCCACTATGCCCCTTCCCCACACATGTCCTCCCCCCCCTCGTCCAGAGTACTCGTATCCTCCCTCCATCCCCCCCCCTACTCCTCGTCATCATCCTCATGGCGCCTCTCCTCATCATCCTCCTCCTCCTCGTCCTCCTCGTCCTTCTCCTTATCCTACTCCCTCCCACCCCCTCCTCCTCCGCATCCTCCGCATCCTCCACTCATCCTGGGTGAGCACCCGCGGACAACGTCCTCCAAACACGCACCTCCCCGAGACAACTCTTCAAAGACACACAAAGGGTAACCCTCTCCGACAGGTATGGGAGCGACGGGGCGATGCTGATCAGCCCAAGGCTCCGCTGCGTTAGTACCAAATGCACGCCAACATCCCCGGCACATGCGTTCTTGTTTGGACTGGTAAGGCCTTTCTCCGCAAGCGCGACACAGTGGTTTCGAGCGGGCAGGCATGGTGCCCAAGATGTGGCAGTAAGCACGCTGCGTTCCCTGGTGGAAGAGCGAGCTTGAGCGCGCGTGCGGCTGCGGACAGGCAGAGGCGCAGGCAAAGCCAATTGATCCTCAGCCCAATGTCGAACGTGGTCCATATTGAAACACGCTGTGGTTGGTTGATGCGCCCCGAACCCCAGACCAACGAATTGAGCCTCAGCCCAATGTCGAACGTGATCCATATTCTAACGCTGTGGCTGCATGATGCGTCCCGAACCCCAGACCAACGAATCCACCGATCACCCCTGACCGCCCGTGGGTGGCCCATGGTGCTGCTTGGTTACGACTGGAAAGTATCCTCACCGCCATAGCTTGCATGCCAGCGAAATATCCTCACCCCCTGGTCTAACACGTCCAGCAAAATATACTTACCCCCCGGCCTTAAACTGCCAGCGAACTATCCGCAGCCCCCTGACTTAAAATTGCCAGCTAAATATCCTCACACCCCTCACCGAAATATCCTCACCCACTGGCCTACAACTGCCAGCGAAATATCCGAATACCCCTCGCTTAAAACTGCCAGAGAAATATACCCACCCCCTGGCCTAAAACTGCCAGCGAAATATCCTCACACCCCTCGCTTAAAATTATCAGCGAAATATCATCACCCCCTGGCCAAAAATTGCCAGTCTGCCAGTCAGTTCGGTCTACTTCCCGAAAAATAAAATTACGGGCTGCGCCCGCAAAAGACAATGCCGAGCCCGTCGACATGCTGAGCGCTACGAGGACGAGCGGTGTGTACCAGCTCGCCGACAAGCCCGGAGCCATGGCAGCAGCAGCCCAAGGAACGGGTCCGTCGCCAGCTCCTCTCGGGCCCCTCTGATCGGATATTACCAAAAGTGCCCCTGGCCCAGGGTGCCCCCAGCTCTTCGCTCCACTTTGGAGCCCCTGGGCCCGGGCCTCGTGAGGGGTGCCCTGGAGGCCGTCTGGGCCACCCCGAGAATGCTGGGGGCACCTGGGGCCAAGGGTGCTTCTGGCAACACCCGACCTGGGCGCCCTCCAGAGAGGCTTCTGCAGACCGCCCCGCGCGCGCGCGCTCGGAGAGGCGGTCGAGCGACCGGCGGCGCCGCGGCACGCGCCGGGAGGCGGGCGGCGGGATCCTGATGGAAGGGGGGCGGCCGCCTGGGCGACGCGGGGGGGGGGAGCCCGGAAATCGGGGCCCTGCGTCGGCAAAGGCCGTTGCCGTCGTCGGCGTCGGCTTCGACGTTGGAGTCGTCGTCGACGGCTTCGTCAGCATCGTCTTCGGCGTCGTCGGCGTCGCCGTCGGCGTCGTCGTCGTGGTTGTCGTCGTCGGCGACGTCGTCGCTGTCGTCGGCGTCGTCGTCGGCATCGTCGTCGTAGGCGTCGTCGTCGGCTTCAGCGTCAGCGTCGTCGGCGTCGTCATCGGCGTCGTCGTCGTCGGCGTCGCCGACGGCGTCGTCATCGTCGTCGGCGTCGTCGACGGCGGCGTAGGCATCGGCGGCGTCGGCATCGGCGTCGTCGGCATCGTCGTCGCAGGCGTCGTCGGCGTCGTGATCGGCGTCGTCGACAACGTCATCGACGTTCTCGGCGTCGTCGCGGACAGCGTCGTCGTCGGTGCCGGCGACAACGTGGGCGTCGTTGGCATCGTCGTCGGCGTCGGTGCCGCCGTCGTCGTCGGCGTCGTCGTCGTCAGCGGCGTCTTCGTCGACATCGTCGTCGACGTCGTCGCCGCTGTCGCCGCTGTCGGCGGCGTCATCGTCGTCGGCCTCGTCATCGGCGTCGTCGTCGGCATCGCGTCGTCGTCGTCGGCATCGTCGGCGTCGTCAGCGTCGTCGGCGTCGTCGGCGCCGTCGGCGTCGTCGGCGGAGTCGTCGGCGTCGTCGGCGTCATCATCGTCGGCGGCGTAGTCAGCGTCGTCGTCAGCGTCGTCGGCGTCACCGCCGGCGTCGTCGTCGTCGTCGGCGCGACAGCGTCGTCGACGCTGTCAACGTCGGCGTCTTCGTCGGCGTCGTCGGCGCCGTCATCGCAGTCGTCGGCACCGTCCGCGTCGTTGGCGTCGTCGGCGTCGTCGTCGGCGTCGGCGTCGTCGTCGGCGTCGTCGTGGTCGGCGGCATCGTCGGCGTCGTCGTAGGCGTCGTCGGCGTCACCGTCGGCGTAATCGTCGACGGCGGCGTCGTCGTCGTCGACGCTGTCGTCGTCGGCGACTTCGTCGGCGTCGTCATCGGCATCGCCGGCGTCGTCGGCTTCGTCGGCGTCGTCGTCGGCGTCGTCGACGGCGTCGTCGTCTTCGGCATCGCTGGCGTCGTCGGCGTCGTCGGCGTCATCGTCGGCGTCGTCGGCGTCGTCGTTGGCGTCGTCGTCGTCGGCGTCGTCGTCGGCGTCGTCGTCGGTGCCGTCGGCGTCGTCGTCGGCGTCATCGTGGTCGGCGGCGTCATCGTCCTGGGAGGCTGGGGAGAAGAGGAGCAGGAGGAGGAGGAGGAGAAGGAGGAGGACGAGGAGGGAGAGAACCAGAATGGGCGGCGTCGTCGTCGGCGTCGTCGTCGTCGTTGGCGTCGTCGTTGGCGTCGTCGTTGGCGTCGTCGGCGGCGTCGGCGTCGTCGGCGTCGTCGTCAGCGCAGTCGGCGCACTCGAAGTCGTCAGCGTCGGCTTCGGCGTCGTCGGCGTCATCGTCGGCGTCGTCGGCGTCGACGTCGTCGGCGTCGTCGTCAGCGTCGTCGCCGTCGGCGTCGCCGGCGGCGTCGTCGTCGGCGTCGTATGCGCCCTCGGAGTCGTCGTTGGCGTCGTCGGCGTCGTCGGTGCCGTCGTCGGCGTCGTAGGCGTCGACGTCGTCGGCGTAGTAGGCGTCGACGTCGTCGGCGTCGTCGGCGTGGTCGTCGGCATCGTCGACAGAGTTGTTGTCGTCGGCATCGTCGTCATCGTCGTCGGCGGAGAGGACGTCGTCGTCGGGTCGGCGTCGTCGGCGACGGCGTCGTCGACGTCATCGGCGTCGTCTTCGGCGCCGTCGTCGTCGGCGGCGACGGCGTCGTCGTCGGCATCGTCGACAGAGTTGTTGTCGTCGGCATCGTCGTCATCGTCGTCGGCGGAGAGGACGTCGTCGTCGGGTCGGCGTCGTCGGCGACGGCGTCGTCGACGTCATCGGCGTCGTCTTCGGCGCCGTCGTCGTCGGCGGCGTCGGCGTCGTCGTCGGCGTCGTCGGCGCGTCGGCGCCGTCGTCGTCGGCGGTGTCGGCATCGGCGTCCTCGGCGTCGTCGTCGCAGGCGTCGTCGGCGTCGTTGTCGGCGTCGGCGACGGCGTCGGCGGCGTCTTCGGCGTCGGCGTCGTCGGCGTCGTCGGCGTCGTCGGCGTCGTCGGCGTCGGCGGCGTCGTTGTGGGCATCCGTGGCGTCGGCGTCGGGACCGTCGTCGTCGGCTGCGTCGTCAGCGTCGTCGGCGACGTCGTCGTCGTCGGAGTCGTCGTCGTCGGCGTCGGTGTGCTCGTCGGCGTCGTCGTCGGCGTCCTCGCCGGCGTCGTCTGCATCGTCGGCGTCGTCGTCTGCGTCGTCGGCGTCGTCGGCGTCGGCGGCGTCGTTGTCGGCATCCGTGACGTCGTCGGGGTCATCGTCGTCGGCGGCGTCGTTGGCGCCGTCAGCGTTGTCAGCGTCGGCGTCAGCGTCGTTATCGTCGGCGTGGTCGGCGGCGTCGTCGGCGTCGTCGGCGACGTCGTCGTCGGCGTCGTCGGTGTCGTGGTCGGCGTCGTCGTCGGCGTGGTTGGCGTCGTCGGCGTCGGCGTCGTAACCAGCGTCGCAGTTGGCA